GGGGAGTGAGAACAAAAAATCAGTGACTGCTGGGCACATAAATGATTAGAAAAAACCCAGCAGGGGCCTATCTTCATTCTAGTACCTAGCACCTTTAAAAATCTGGCCTCAACCTACCCAATTCTCACAGAAGCTTTTGTTGGATTCAAACAGTGTTGGGAAAAATTAAACTGTGTTGGGAAAATTGTTACCTTAGTTGTCTCTGATACAGCTGGGGACGGTCCTGCTTTGACCAGGGGGTTGAACTAGATGATCTCCTAAGGTCCTTTCCAACCCTAATTTTCTATGAGTCTATGATTCTAATCTGTTTATGTACACAGGTGTATTATAATAGTACACACCTGAAAGTTTACACTATAGGATAGCTCATGCTGGTCAACTGATCCCAGATTGCAGAATTCATACAAATGCCCTTTAAGAGGAAACACATGTGTCGGGTCAGAGAAAGGTTACTTCTTCCTCACAGCATAGTTATGCTTTTGAGTATGTTTACTATCCCATTTGATGTAATAGATGCTCAAGTATTTTAAAACCCTACTAAAGAGAGTTTACTAAAAATGAAATGCTCTGAAATATTCATGGTTCCTCTGTTGGCTCTACAGTAACAAAGCACAAAATAATACTTTTTCAAAATAATACTTCTAAACACTCCTGAGATAAAGGCTAAATTTGTCACAATGGAAATCTGAGGTACAGGGTTAAGTGACTTGCCCAGGACTAACTGGTTCAGATCTTTATATTTAGATTGAGAGATTCAAATCTTACACTAGTGGGAGAGAGTAGTGGACATATGACACAAACCTCAACATTGGGATAACTTCATACAATCTGATGGAGAATCATAGAAGAAAGGCTCAGGGACAGTATCCCACAGTAGTCATCTGCAAAGAGCTTACTACCCATTCTCTAACGGCATACTGGTGAGGCACAGTAAAGCTGCTGACAGATGCTAAGGCAGTTACGTGACTGGGATTTGAAGAATTTTATGCACCGTTCCCCAAGTCACGTTGCTTGCCATGCCATGCCAGAGCCTCCCCAATGTCAGGCTTGTGGTGCTCCATACGGTACAGTGGAGGAGCTCCCCCATTTCCTGCTGCATGTGCCAGACTAAAGGAGTGCCAGGTGCAAACAGGAGGTGGAGGGACTCTCTCATCCCCAGTTTCATTTACCTATTTAAGAGGTGCTTTGCATGTACAGCTGGGAATGGGAGAGCTCCCATATCTCCCACTGCTTGCGCTGGACACCCCTTTAAAGGGCCACATGTAGCAGGGAATGGGGAAAGCCCTCTCATCCTCAGCTCTGTGTGTTGCATACCTCTTTAAATGTGCACATGCAACTGGGAATGGGGGAAGTGCACTTGTTCAAAACTGCACATCCTCTGAAAGAGGTGCCCTGGTGTCCCAAATCTGAGACCCAAGGATGCTTTTGGGGATAGAGCAGTGTGACAACCAAGTTTGGTACTTGGAACTGCTCCCAGCCCAATCCCACCAAATGGGCAGGGAGCAGCTTTGTCCCAGACCCTGAGTGTCTCATACCAGATACCAACATTCAGATAAATGTCAGGATCTGTCACTGCACAATGCCAGTCCTATTCTGGACCCAGAACTATGCCCAGATAAATCCAGATAATCAGACAGAAGGGCTGTGTCCCAGACCTTAGAGCTGCCCCATGCTCTGAGACTTTCTGGGATCCAGCACTTTAAAGAGCCTTGCCTGAGGGGGATGAAGGGCAAAGTTCTTTAAGGTTCTGGGTCCAGCAAGCCTGATGCTGACAATCAGCGACTGTCAGCATTGGGACTTTGACAGCCCCGAATTAGGTTCCTGGGACAACTGGGATCACTGTCAGCGTTGGGACGATGAAGCATGCCATACATTCAATTTATGGAGCCATAGAAAACAGCCAAAAAAATTTCCACATTTTTGTGGAATATCTTTGTGGCTGGTTTGCCATTTTATGGTGCCATAAATTCAATGAACATGTGATATGTTGCTAGTTATGCATGATTAACATGGTAATTGGTCCCTAAATGCAATGTGTGCCAGAGGCCATAGCTGCCTACTGTTTGAACAAGACTGGGATAGCTGCACATCTAGAAAATTCATATACAAAACCAATGTAAGGTACACTAGGATATGTGTTTATCTGTCTATGACCTTTCTTCCTTACCTTAATTAAGCTTTCTAAAAAATTAGTACTAATTAGAGGTTAACATTGTTACTATTATCTTGATGATATAATGGGGATAAAAAGTAACTTGAATCTGAACTTAAACAGATGGGTGTCTGTAACAGGGAATCCTTACTCTGTTTCTTGGGTGGTGGGGGCTACAGGGCCAGAAGAACCAGTAAGGGCTCTTTGAGGGAAGGGCTTTTATGACTCAGGCAAAGGCAGCTGGCAGAGCCAGGACTAACAAGCAGCCCCTGTGCTCAGGCCAGCTAATAGGCCAGGTTGGCCAGAAGGGGCAGGGCCCAGGTAATCAATAGGCTTGCCCTCAGGCAGAAGGGGTAGTGAGACCTGCCAGGGACAAGGTGCCAGCCACAGGAGTGCCCGAGGGGCACATGTGGTTTTGGGAGCTCTGCCAGGGTTCAGGACTCAATGCAATGCCACAGCCAGCGAAGCAAACAAAACTCTGGCTTGTATCTACCGATGCATCTCAAGCAAGACCCAGGAAGTCATCTTCCCACTTTACTTGGCCTTGGTGAGACCACAGCTGGAATACTGTGTCCAGTTCTGGGCTCTGTAATTCAAAAGGATGTAGAGAAGCTTGAGAGAGTCCAGAGGAGAGCCACGTGAATGATTAGAGGACAAGAGAGCAGACCTTATGAAGAGAGGCTGAGAGACATGGGACTCTTCAGCCTGGAAAAGCGTAGGGTTGGGGTGACTTGGTGGCAGCCTATAAGTACATAAGGGGCATGCCTCAGGATCTGGGAGAACAACTGTTCACCAGGGCACCCCATAGGAAGATAAAGTCCAATAGTCACAAACTCCTGGAAGACTGTTTTAGGCTGGACATAAGGAAAAACTTCCTTACTGTCCGAGTCCCCAGGGCCTGGAATAGATTTCCCCCAGAGGTGGTGCAAGTTGGATGCCTATCTTGCTGGGATCATTTGACCCCTGCTGATTTCCTGCCCTTTGGGCAGGGGCCTGGACCCAATGATCTTGCGAGGTCCCTGCCAGCCCTAGTGTCTATGTAATCTATGAAGTCTACTGGAGTGTTCTAATTAGAACAACAAAGCCAAAAAAATATTTTTTCACTTCTATATTGTCTTTCAAAGGAATATTTGCATGCTATAGGCCCCTTCTATATGTTATAGGTATTGCTCAATTACCTGGTTAATTACACAATTACCTTAAGACTAACTACATGTGCAAATACTTATCACACAACAAGTGTGATGGCTTCACCATCATATGCATTCAGTGTCCCCACATTCCAAAAGGTCGGCAAATGAGCTTTAGTTAAATGAGCTTTAGTTAAAGCACCCCACCCCTGCCATTTTGAAGTATAGGGTGCTGAATACATGAAACACTGTGGGCGTTTTAATTAGAGTGGCTCCCAAGAGCTGTTATAATTAAAATACCCTCCATCCTCCGAGAGCACATGTATAGACATCCTTTGTTTTAAGTTTCAGCAGGTACAGGTATACAATTATACTGCATATTTTAAAATATCTTTGATGTAAGTGTCCTACACTAGCTCTTCTGGTGGATACCAGTGTCTATGAAAGATTATTAACAGTGTTGGACAGCTGGAACCGTATAATAAGGATCAGAGTGCCCAGAAAAAGATACAGTAACATTCTTCTGTTTAAGCATGAAAAGTACTAACATCTCTTCTTGAGCTCTAACCAAGTCATGCAAAGTTTTGTTAATGAACAGAAATAAACACAGTTTTCACATCTGGAATTCAAGACATTTGGAATTCACTTTTGGGAACAGGCTAGTTCTGTAACATTAAGGTAGGTCATTCTGGCAATCTGTCACTACAGTTTTATAAATAATAATTCCTCTAAAAGCACTGAACTTTCATCAGTGTGAAGTGGCAAACCTGGCACTGGGTTTCAAGAATCTATGGTGACAGCAAACTTCATTTTCTTTTCTTTAGTTTATAGTGAATCAACATACAAACATCCTGATACTGTAATAGTCAGAGAAATGCTATTTTGATAGCAACTCTGTCTGTGAATAAATGTGTCACTGATTAAAACCAGACTGAACATAACCTGTTATGTCTGCTTTAAGAATACAGTTGTTAATGCTGTGCATTTAGAACAAGTATTTAACAGCTGCTGACAGTTCTAGTCCTGGACATATGCTCTTATATTTAATCCAGCTGCTGCTATTAATGTGCATATATGTCCTATAATTTATTTCATCATTTTGAGAACTATTCAGTAACTCAAGTCTTTCCAGAAAATGTTTTACTATACATTAGCTTAAAGGGTGTTTATGAGAAGTTAAAGGTTTTTCCATTCAAGTGTTCATTTTTATTTTCCCGTTTTTGAGGACTGTAATACGATTAAATGTTACACATTCTTGAACTGATGAAAACTCTGGGAAGAATTTAAGAACACTGTCAATATAATTACTGCAAAGTTAGCTACAACCCCAATAAATAATATTAAAAAGCAGACAATGGGCTTCATGCTAATGACTTCACCGTACTGTGCTCACATAGAAATTAATCAAACCTAAGTTTTCTTCCTTCACTGGATTTAATTTTCACTCATGTCCTTGTTCCTTTGTTTTACCCAAACCTGGGAATGGAAACATCAGAATATGTAACAATGTCCTTTCTTATGGTAGTTCTAGCCCAACCATTAACAGTACTTACTGAAACACTACTGTTAATTTATTTCTCATTTTGTGTTTGTGCATTCCATGTCTCTTCCCCAAGGTAATACTTTGCAGTTGTCTTCACTAAATTTCATCTTGCTAATCAGACTAGTTCTTCAATTTATCATAATCATTCTGAATACAAGTGATAAGTAACACTTACCGAAGTGTCAATGCCCATAATCAACCCATTTGCAAGGATAAAAGTAAACAATATCAGTATCTTCATTCTGAGGAAACTACAAAAGAGAGTAACAAATTAGATCAGGATTCATTACAAAAATAATAATTTACATATACAAATGGTCATATTTGCTCCTTAAAAATCCTCAGAGTATTATTTGAATATATTTAAAACAAGGGGATTAATTTAGGAAAATAAAAAAATGAAGAGGACAGAATAATGTTTTCCCTTTTCAGACCACTTCTGATAGATTTCCAACATTCATTTGAATGGGTAATGAAAATATATTTGTATATTTTAAGAGAATGTTATGTAAAGGCTATGAAATCACATAATTATAAACATGGTAAGAAAAGAAAACATAACTTCTCCATTCAAATCCTTTAAAATTACATAATTTTTCTCTCTAACTTTGGTTGAATCAGAATCAGGTTCAATGTTTGGTCCTTTCGAAATTGTGAAATATGGATAATATCAAGGGTGGGAAACATTTGGCTCTTGTATACACTGATGTAAGTGCACCATGAATTTGACCTGGTATTCTGGGACTACAGAAGATGACAGATATTAAATGATCCACACAGGAAAGAAAGGAGGATAACTGGGTTTCTTCCTCAGAATTGTATTCAGAAATATGTAGACTTGACTCCCTGCTTTATAGATCAGGAGTTTGTCTAATGGCTTGTCTAATGGAGTTAGATATACTGGTTTTAAACAAAGTTTAAAAACTGATTTAAATTAAACTAATGTAAATCACTGTGTTCACATTTTTATTTTGGTTTAAGAATGACTTGTTTTGCTTTGTTTTAAATGAAATCCTGGTGCAAACTAAAACAGCCTTTTGCACTGGTCTGACTAAATCAGTTAAAAAGAATGTAAGTTAAACCCATACAAGTTTGTGGTTAGACAAAACCTGAAAACAGAAAGAGATTAATGCTCCCATTTCAGCAAAGTACTTCAATATGTGCTTAAAAGATCACTGCCTCTGTGGAAAATTCCACTCAATTTCTATATGTGTGAATATGAAATGCCAATGGAAGCTGGGCAGATTCTTTTTTTTAAATTCTTCATATTGTACAAAAATAACCAGTGTGCACTTGGAAAGTATGTTTTTCAGTCCCTTAAAATTCAGCCAAATTAAATCTCACCTTTGAAAGCCACATTCAGGCACATACCAAATTTCAGGTTTCCATTGTTTAAATCTCAAACACTTGATACATTAAAAAATGACAAGTATGTCTTATTTAGCCAGAAAACTGCATTTTTCTCACTCTGAATTCCCACATGCTTCAAAACTGCATGTCCATTGCTGGTGCATCTTGCAAACATTATTCTCAGGCAGAGTAAGTGCATCAACTTTGTGGAAACTGAAAATGTCTAATAGATACGTAAAATGAATGTATTCCCATTCATTTTAATGGTCACTGACCAATTATCTTTGGGAGAATTTGAATTTGATTTGAAAAAAAAAATTACTCACATTTTATATTAAGGATACATTTATAGGTAATGTATAATGGGTAAATAAATTATAAAAAATGTTTTAATAAAGGATCACAGGAAAGTAGGGCTGGAAGAGACCTCAGGAGGACCTCTAGTCCAGCCTCCCTCTCAAGGCAGGATCACTTCTGTTTAAACCATCCAAGGCAAGTGTTTGTCTTTGAACCTGCTGTAGAAAATTTCAAGGGATGGAGATTCCACAGCTTCTCTAGGTAGCCTGTTCCCATACTAGACCATCCTCACAATCAGAAAGTTTATTCTAATCTCCAGCCTAAATTTCCTCTGCTGCAGCTTGAATCAACTGCTCCTAGTGCAGTCCGCTATAGCCACAGATAAAAGGCTATCTCTATACTCTTTATAATCACCCTTCAGGTTTATGAAGGCTGTTATCAAATCCCCACTCAGGTTTCTCTTCTTGTCGGGCACATCCACACATGCAAGCACATGTGCTTGCAGCAGCTCAAATAGAATTAGTGCAAATCTGAGCTGGAGCTTTTTGCCTCCACGCATGTGCTTAGACATGCACTTTGTTGTGGAGCAAATTGTGCCACTTCAGGCAAAATTACCCTGCCTGGCTCCTCCCGGATCTGCAGCCAGGGGGAGCTAGAGCCTGGGGTCAGCACCTGACCTGGTCCCATCAGAACAAAAAGCTGCCCTAGCAAGCAGCTTAGGGCTACTCACTCTCAGGAGCTTCTGGGAGGAAGCTGGCCATGCCCCTTCCTGTCCCAGGTTGCTGTAAGCTTGGTCTCAGGAGCTTCTGGGGAGAAGATGGCCAGGCCCTTTCCTGCCTCTGGCTACTGTTAGCTGCTGGCTTGGTCTCAGAGCTTTTGGGAGTGGGTGAGCTGCACCCCTTCCTGCCTTGGGATGCTGCTGCTTCCCCCCCCCAGAAGGGGGGGTCCTCTGCTGCATGCTGATGCCCCCCCTCAGGGAGGGGCCCACTGCATTGCACTGCACCCCAGCACCGCACCCCAGCTTCTGCACCCCTGTTCCAGCCTGCTGCCAAGCCGCAGTTGGGGGACAGCCTGGGGAGGGAGCCTGCACTGCCTGTGGCCCCCTCCCCCACCATCACTGCTGGAGCCTAAAGGTACCTTGCCTGCCCCAGCTGCCTTGGCAGGGCACCCCAACCTTCACTTCCACTTTTACCAGAAGCACACCTTGAGTGGCTGAACTGGATGGCTCCCACCACCACTACTGTTGCTGCCATTGTTTCTGCTGCTGCCCCCTCTCAGGAGAGAGGGAGATTCCCTCCTGCACCACCTGACACCACACCTGCACTGGATTACTTCCTAGTTGAGTGACTGCTCCTGCCTTCCCCCACAGCTACCTCACTGCATTTGATCCTGATTTATCTTCCTGCCTACTTCTCTGCTGCTAAGCATCTGGCTGGAGGCCCAAGGGGCTTCTGGACAGATCTTCCACAAACAAAGCCCCTCCACTGCTCCAGCCATCCTTTACATCTGCCTCAGCAGCCTTCCCTGTGTGTTTCTACCCTTGTGTGGTAAGGCCTGTGGTTCACTCCCCCTGACTTGGGGTTTGCTGTGTAGCTGAGTAAGCCAGCTCAAGCTTCCCCAGCCCTTGTGTGTGTGTGTTCCCTCCCCCACATTCTCAAAGTATAGGCCTCCCAGTTTTTTTCCTGTGGGGAAGTAGCTCAATGAGCTTCAACCCCCTTCCTCCCTATCCCCCTTTCCCCCCACAATTGAAGCCTACCCCTACTAGATTCACCAGCCCCATGGGATATTTTGTTTTTCTTTATCGTCTTTCCTGCCCTCATGTGAAACAATGGTAGGGCAGGAAACTTCTGAGGGGCCATCTGCCCCCCCCCACCAGAGCTTTCTGCAGCCCCCACTATGGGGGTGGATCCAGCCAAGCCCTCAAGGGAATGCATGCCCCTGCAGCCTCCACCTTGGAGGCAGAGTCCAACCAACCTCCTCTGGGGGTGGAGAAGCCTGCAACCTCCACTGCAGGGGCAGATGGGACTCGGGTAGGGAGTCAACAGGGCCAGGGAGTCTCCCCTGGCCAGGACCCCCCCCCCCGGAGGGGTTCTCAAGCCCCGTCTCTCATCATTGGGGGACCAAGGGCAAGGGCAGTGAGAAGGACTCCTCTTCAGCCTCCTTGACAGCTGGGAGTGGGAAGGGCAAGGACCCTGACCCCAAGCCTAGACTACCAGCGCCTGAGGGGATCAGGTACATTACACCAGCCAGCACACCCACTCAGACTGTCCTTGGCCCTAGCTCTGGCCCCACCAATGTGGCCTCCTGGGGGGGAACCTCAGCTATGCACAGGCAGCTGCGGGGAGACCCAAAGCCAGGGGGCCCTGGACCCTCCACTGCCAGCCTTTCCAGCTCAGGGACTGGGGCCCCCTTTCCTGCACTCACCTGCAGGCATGGGGTGAAGTGCCAACTGCCTAAGCAGGAGAACTTGCAACTCTGAGACCTGGGTGCAGGCCCTGGCTCAGGTAGTGGGGGCCCCCAAGATCATGGCAGCCTTCCACTTTCATGGCAAGGGGGTCATTTTCCTTGCCTCGGAGGCTGCTGCACAAAAAGCGGTGGAGATGCGGCTCATGGTGGAGGGTCAGTACATCCCCTTCGAGCCTCTAGAAGAGCTGGGGACCAGGGTGGTCCTCTGGTCCATCCCTCCCTATATCCCCAGTTGGGCCCTGCTCCCCAAGCTCCAAACCCTGGGGAAAGTTATCTCCCCAGTGGTGGGCCTCTCACTAGGAGGCCAAGACCCCAGCCTCCGCCATGTGCATTCTTTCTGTTGCCAGGTCATGATCCAGCTGGCAGTGGGACTGCGACTGGAGGCTGAGGGGTGCCTGGCATTTTTTTATCAGGGGGCCCTGGTGAAGATTTTCTATACACTGGGGGACCTGCAGTGCTTCCGGTGTCATGCCTTGGGGCACTTGCATCATAAGTGCCCTACGGGCCAGGCAGGAAGGGCATCTGTGGGTCCCACTAAAAAGAGGGGTACCCCTACCACCAGCACCCCACCCCCCTCAGGTCCCCCTGGCACCCCTGCTACAACTACAAGACCCCCCCATGAACTCAAGGGACCCTGCCCCCCAATCAAATTTAGCAGAGTCCCAGGCAGCAGCAACTGGGGGGAGAGAGGGAGCAGGTCCCCCCACCCCTGGTCATACCCCTGTCTTGGCTGCCCCACCAGCCCCCAACCCTCACCGTCTCTTGCTGGAACCTGTCCACCTGAGGACAACCACATGGCTGAGTGGGTGCAGGTCCTGTCTGGGCATAAAGGCAAGAGGAAGGCTTGGGCACAGCTGGAACCCTCTGACATGGGGGACTCCTCTACCTTTCCCAAGACCACCACACAGGGGGAAGGAAGGGCCCAGCCTCCAGGGGCCTCTCCAGCTGTGCCTGACACCCCACCCCCAGGAAAGATCAAACTAGTGATCCCCATAGAGGAGGTTTTGGGGCTGCTAGATAGTCCCAAACAGAAGCCCATGGAGGAAGTCCCTCATTCTGCTGACCAGGGCCTACTCCCTGAAACCACAGGCACTGAGGCCTACCCAATGGAAGGCCTGGCAGAAGAGCCTCCTCCCTCTTTTGATCTGGGGGATACTGAGGCCCTGGGGCTCACCCCTGTGAGTCCTGAGGGAGGAGGTCCCCTTTCCCAGGACCCTGAGCAGATGCTGGAGTCACTCCAGTGCCTGGCAGCTCTCTTCCCTCCCCCTCCCAGCAAAACCTTAACTCCAGCCTGCCCCATAGTCCCGCACCAGAGTGGGTTGCGGTAGGATCCCCTAATCAACAGGCCGATCTTGTCGGGGACCCTGCACAGAACCCCTGGGGCTCCAGCTCTACCTCACCATCTTGTGAAGGAGCCCCACCCCCACCCCTGTCCCAGGGGGCTGCAGAGCTCTCCCAATCCCAACCAGAGTCTGGGGTCTTAGGGGACTGGGGGTTCAGAATGTGTCTAAGGAGTCCTCTGAGCCCCGGGACCAGGAAGGGGATCCCCATGACCTAAGGAACTGGTGTCCCGTGTCCCTCTTCTGCATGGACTACAAGGTGGAAGTGAAGGCCATCTTGCTGTGCCTGTGGTCTGTGCTGATGGTCGTGATCCATTCCGACCAGACGTATACAGTGCCCAGACATTCCATCTTCGACAACCTGTACCTGGTTTGGGACCTCCTGGAGCTAGCACGCCAGGAGGGCCTGTCTTTCACCCTCCTGTCCCTGGCCCAGGAGAAGGCGTTTGACAGTGGATCATGGGTACCTCACAAGCACACTGTGGGCCTTTGGCTTTGGGCCCTGCTTTGTGTGGGCTCTTCAGGTGCTGTACACATCTGCAGAATGTTTGGTCATGCTCAACTGGACCCTGACAGAGCCCATCCCATTCAGAAGAGGGGTGCGTCAAGGCTGCCTGCTGTCAGGCCAGCTGTACTCCTTGGCCCTGGAGCCCGTCCTCATTCTCCTGCGGAAGCAGGTGGTGGGGTTGATGCTTTGGGAGCCAGCGGTGCAGCTGGTCCTGTCAGTATATGCTGATGACTTACTCCTCATGGTCCAGGACTTGGGTGAGCCGGTGCAGGTGGAGGACTGCCAGGCATTGTACTCGGTGGCCTCCTCTGCCTAGGTTAACTGGGTCAGAAGCTTTGGCCTGGTGGTGGCTGACTGGTGGCAGGTGGTCTCATTCTCATCCGTGCTCCACGGGATCCACTGGATCATGGGCTTGCTGCTCTACTTGGGGGTCTACCTGTCCCCCACAGACCCCTCCCTGCTGGAGAACTGTCACCAGCTGGAGGCAAGGGTGGTGGAGCAGCTCCAGGCATGGCCAGGGCTCCTGGGATGTCTCTGCCTGCATGGAAGAGCGCTGGTGCTGAACCAGCTGGTCCTGTCCATGCTCTGGCACTGCTTATACACCCTGCCTATGCCCTCTGAGATCCTGGCAGGACTCCAGAGATGGGCACTGGAGCTATTCTGGCTGGGACAGCACTGGGTTGCTGCAGAGATTGAGCCTCCACTTGCGGCCTCAGAACCAGGTCTTGGCATTCTTTCATCCACTGTTATCCAATTGCACAATCCAATCTATATATAACCATGGTTTATAGCCATTTGTAACAGCTACAACTGAAGTGCTAATGATAAACTATAGTACTTACCCCGTTAAATATTTATATCATCTATTAATAACTAATTAAGCCTTCACAAACTATTCATGAATATTTTTAACATAGTGTGACCTAAAAATCTAAACCTAGATACACTCTGCCATACATTTTCTGAAACAATCTTATATTGTTCAGGTTATCCAATTTTCTAGGTAGAATATTACCTGTCTATAAATTTTCTGAATCCAAAAATCTAGCTGAACTGTGAAGAGCCAGATTCTGCTCTCTTACACCAATTCAGCCCTATACATTTTAGGTTTAATGACAGTAAAATGTAGACAAACAGCCTGTCATGGAACACTGATATGAATCTGGGAGTTTTGATCATGATCAACATTAGGTACTTTTACTTACTTAAGGTCATTCTGGTGTTGTAGTTATTATAATTTTGAAAATAGCTGTTGTCACTTGGTTTTGCAGTGGATTTCTGTCCATTGTGGAATATGAGTGACTGAAGAGCTCAATCCTATTTCTCTCTGTGACCCTAAATGGCAGTTTTCCAACCATATACCTGACCTTTTTGGCACTTATGCACAATTTGCATTTCTTTTATCCAGATAATATGGACAGTAGTTTGCATGACAGGCTCTGCCATGGCTAGGCAACATGCAACCATATACATGTGTATAACAGATTTGCATAAGTCATAAAATTCTACCTAGTAAAAACCCATGACTAGCTGGAGTTGGATGCTGGAGAAGCAGGAGGGGATAGACAAGAGGGGGGAGGGGAGGAGGATCCTTCCATGTTTTAGCCTCAACAGTTAAGTGGTTAGGGCACTCAAAGAAGTGGGAGACTTAGGTTCTAGGCCAGAATGACACTTACAAGGCTGGAAAACTACCATTTAGGTATATAAATGGTAATAGAATTCTGTCATAAGAGTATACTGGGTACAGTCAACCTGCACTTAACTTACAGTTTCTAGTTCCAGATCTCAGTTGTGTTCCTTATGTCCTTTATGTCATGACTAGGATATGATGACCATAAGGCAGGGGCTATTATTCTTATTGAATAATTCATATCCATCTCATATGTATAACTGAAGGGGCTTTATTTTCAGAAGCAACATATATATAATAAAATTTGCATACATTAAGTTATGTATTAATACTTAAATTAACTGCATTACATGTATTATTTAAAAAGTGCTTTACCAACAGTAACTATGTTCCTGGATAGATTAGTAGAATGGACAGGCCAAATTTATTATTTACAATAAGAAGCACTGTTTTTCTTTGGCAGGAAATAAAACTTGCAACAACAGCTCCTAAAAATCTGTTTTTAGCAATCAGTCTTTGAGAAACGAAGTGTTTTCATCCTATTTTGCAAGATAGCAAAAATTAAAGGTGTGTACTTCTTTAGATAAATTCAAACTCCTCCAGGGAGAATGTTTCCAAAGTCTACTAATCTCTTTATGCAGATAAACTCCTCATTTTTTTCTTATATAAAACTTGTTAATCAGAAATGTGAAGTAAAGCAATTCATTAAATGAATTGGGAAGTCTGGAAAGAGACTATTATAGCTAATGAATTTTCAAGTATAAAGCAGCAAACAAGTGTCTTCATTCTAATAAAACCACCTGTTGTTACAGAAAACTCAGTCACAACACAGCTGACATCAATTTCATGATTTTTTTGGTTTGTTTTTTTTGTTGCTAACTTCACTGAACCCAAAGAGATTAAATGTGGTGAGAAATGTTTAAGACTCTTCTTTATAATGCAGATATCTGGCAGTAAAGCAAGCAGAAAGTGTACAGATGGCAGCCCTTCACATGAAAATATTTACCTTAAATTATGGATTTTACAGATTGAGTATCATCAGCATACCGTATATCATGATTTACTCATGGCCATCAGAGATAAGCACACTTAATGCATGTTATTCTAATCTGAAGGCGCAATTCCATACCACTCTAGCCAAAAAAGGATTACCTTTAGATGTAATTGTTTTACAGCTTATGGCCAGCTCTTGAGAAGCTCTGCTATTTCATTCCTAGGAAAGTAATGGTATCCATACAGTAGTGAAAACTTATTCAAAATGTGCGCTCTTTGTGAAATATCTTATAGCTATAGGAAGCTCTCTTTGAACAGTCTTCCTTATGATCATTACACATGCAATTTCTAAAAATCCCAATGTATTCAAATTCCTGCCAGCATTTAGGTCTTCTTCAAAGTCCTTCAATGACTGTCTGTCAAACAGACATTATGCCTTGACTTTAATAAGGCTTTTGATATGGTCTCCCACAAAATTCTTACAAGCAAGCTAAAGAAGTATTTGTTGGATGAATGAACTGTAAGGTGGATAGAAAACTGGCTGGATCATCAGGCTCAAAGGGTAATCAAGTGGAATGCCTCAGGGGTCAGTCCCAGGGTTGGTTTTGTTCAATATCACCAATCTGGAGGATGGGATGGAGTGCACCCTCAGTAAATTTGCAGATTACAGCAAGCTGGTTGGAGAAGTAACTATACTGGAGGGTAGGACTAGGATTCAGAGTGACCTCAAAAGTTGGAGGATTGGACCAAAAGAAATCTCATCAAGTTCAAAAAGGTCAAGTACCAATCTTGCACTTCAGATGGAACAATCCTATGCACCAGTACAGACTGGGGACAGGCTGGCTAAGCAGCAGTTCTGTGGAAAAGGACCTGGGGGTTACAGTGGACAATAAGCTGGATAGGAACCAACATTGTGCCCTTGTTGCAAAGAAGGCTAACAGCATACTGGGCTTCAGTCGTACAGGTGTTGCTAGCAGATTGAGGGAAGTGATTAGTTTCTTCTATTTGGCACTGTTGAGGCCATACCTGGATTACTGTGTCGGGTTTTAAGCCCCCACCACAGAAAGGATGTGGACAGATTGAAAAGTGTCAAGCAGAGGGCAATGCAAATGGTTAGAGGGCTGGGGCACATGACTTCTGAGGAGAGGCTGAGGGAACTGAGCTTATTTAGTCTGAAGAAGAGAAGACTGAGGAGGGATTTATAACAGACTTCAACTACGTGAAGGGTGGTTCCAAAGAGGATGGAGCTAGACAGTTCTCAGTGGTGGCAGATGACAGAACAAGGAGCAACCGTCTCAAGTTGCAGCAAGCGAAGTTTAAGTTAGATATTAGGAAGAACTCTCTCACTAAAAGGGTAGTAAAGCACTGGAAAAGGTTATCCAGGGAGGTTGTGGAATCTCCATCCTTGGAGGTTTTTAAGACCCAGCTAGACAAAGCCATGGCTGGGATGATATAGTTGGATATACTCTTGCTTTGGGCAGGGGTTTGAGCTAGATGACATCCTGAGGTCCCTTCCAAACCTAATTTTCTATGATATTAAAACATTACAAAATTAAAAAAAAAAATGTACAGTTAAAATATTAGACCATCTTGTACCTTACGCAGGATACTAATAAAAAAAGTGATATCTCCTGCCAAAAATGTAAGTTGGTTGATTTAAAAAACCTTTAAAAAGATTTTTTTTGCCTTTTAGGTGGTGCTAAATGCTATCATCAAAGCATTACATCACTTTTAATTAGGCAGTAATAGCTATGGTAATCTACACGTAATTCTTTTCTGAAGGGTAATCATTATTGATTCTAACCAGTTTTAAGGCCTGAAAAATAGCCTAGTTCATTTGCCAGTGCATTCGAATACATTCTGAACTAAATATCTTAGTTTGTGTTTATGAGTCTGGGAGAATATGTGGGAAAAGAAATTACCAGAATGGCACTACCAGGGAGAAGAGGAGGAGATGGAGAGATATAGTGGAAAGGGACATGAGAGAGGAGTTGGAAGAAAAAAGATATGCATGACCGAAGCCAGTGGAGAGCCAGGATCCACAACAGCAACTCTGTTTAGATGGGAAGAGCAAGGAAAGAAGAATAACTACATATTTTAGCAAAATACTTGGATCCATTCTTAAACAACACAGATATCACTGTTACAATTTTATGGGTTTCAAAATTATTTCTATTCAAGGCTTTAGAAAGCCCCCCCAAATACCTCCTTCCAAATGCTTGAAATGTTTACCTTTACCCTCTGGGCAGAACTGACAGTTGTTAAATCGTCTTAGCTGAAGCAAAGAATTCCAGTCTTCCCAGAGCAAGATTGTTTTTGCTATTAAATTCTGGAGCGTTGAGGGTTATGTTTGCTATGACTCAGCGAGTAGGAATGTTACCAAGGAGTTGCAGTTATCAGGGCTGTAACTAAACGGAAACTTAAGAAAGAAAATTATATAGTATAAGTTGTTATCTAAGTTGTTGTCTAACATTACTCTAGAAAATTCAAAATAAATAATACATTCCCTTCTACAGCTCTAATTCAGAAAATCATGCCCCTTCAGAACAGCATTTTAGCAAACGCTTAAGTATTTTCCTGGATCTGAGTCTAAGTTTGTTAGGCTTTAGGACCAACAAGCATAGGTAACTTGATTGATTATTGAAACACATTCACAGGATGAAGCTAGTGTTACATGGTAGCACTGATAGAATAAAACATCTGCAAGACCACACTAACAAAGAAAGCATTGTAGACAGAGTCAAAAGGGCTAAAAACAAGAGAACCATGTTTGATTCAAGCCAGGATATTTTAACTAAGATGGATAAGCACAGGGAAAGCTTATTATTGTTCTAGTGATATCTATAAGTATGGGAAGCTATTGACTTTGCTAGAACACAGTCATAGTAGATGTCCATTTATAGCCACATGAATACTCACCAAAGTCTTCCATAAACATTTATTTGGATAAACAAGATTAATTTTGGCCTGACTATTGGCACCATTTTAATATTGGCTTTCCAAAAAACAACCCAGCAAATGAGAATGCTGGGAGGAAAGCTTCTGGAAAGAGCAAAATGTAAGGAAATATTACAAAATTTTGAACTCATAATGTAAATACTTACACTGCCAATGCAATTTTAAGAATAAACAAATGTCCAGTCATGGAAGAGAAATAATGCCATCTAACCTTTGAGGGCAAATAAAACTAGCCACCATAGATCTAATTTTGAATTTCCAGCATTGATGCTTACAAAAAATGCTTGTGAATGACCTAATTCCAAGAAAAATTAACACAAGTTCTTCAGTTAGAAGATAAATACATTCTCAATTTATTTTAAAAAGAAGACATCATAGCTCATAAAAACCTACGCAGAGAAAAAGACATCTTATTTAGAAGAGTTCTTTGACCTAACTGACAAAAATAGAACCGGATCTAGTGACTGAAAATTGAATTTCTAAGGCATATTTTTTAAAACTCAGTAATTAACCATTAAAGTGCCATGCTAATAGATGTGGTTGATTCTCCACTGTTTGAAATCTTTACCTTAAGAGTGGGCATCTTTTTAAAAGATATGTTGTAGTTTAACGACAAGTTATTGAACTCAGCACAAGAATTAACTGGTAAAATTCAATGTCTGTGGTATGCTGGAAGCTAGGTAATATGAAGATGAAATTGAGAAACACCTGAGGAAATAAAATAAATCTTATAGTGGTTCTTCCTGATTTTGGGAATTATGGATGAGATCCTCACCTAGTGCAAAGTGGCCCAACCTTACTAGCGTCAGTGAAGCCACTGGAAGCTCTGGCCACCCAAGGCTTATTCATATGGGTTCTTCTTGTACAGCTTGCAAAAATAAGTCAGGCAAGAATTTATTAAGTAACATTAATTGGTAACATTAGTTAGTCACATTTTTCAGCTCATTTCTCAAAATGAATTATAAAAAATGATATTGCTGTTGCTCAATTCTGTGGCACCTCTAGTAAAACTTAAAACTTTTAGTACAAGTCAGATCACATCAGCCAGTTCATGCTGTGAGTTATCATACAACTTCAAGGCTGATAGAATTTAAAAAAAATCTACTGCTTCTTAGATATTTAAATGGAATGTGTTTAATTAAAGAAAGTAGAGGGTCTTTACTCATGCTATTTGTCTTTTTAGCAATGCTGCTCCTGAACTATTTTACCTAGCAGAATTTCAACAGCTTGTCAAATCAGCACATGCAAGATAATGTGCTCATAATGTCATCTTATCACTCAGACTCAACAGAGCCTCAATCAGGGAACAATCTAAGCTATATACCAAACTGTTAGGAGTTTTTTTCTGATGAGCTATAATGCAGGTGCTAAGCACCATTTAGAAAATGCAAAGCTTCATCTTTTCTTCTGTGACTGACTCTAAGCCTGGAAAATTTAAAAATCACCTTCAGCTGTCATGTAAAAATACTAAAGGGTCAATGATTGCACAACCATGAAATGGTAGCTTAGTGCTTGCCAACATTTATTTTCACCCCATCTGCTATGAATTACTTTGTTTACACTATTCTCTCTAGTTTTTTTTTCCCCCCTCAATTTGCGGAATGTGAAGGATAACTAGAACACATGCAATGGATTCCTGTCTGACTTGGGCTAAAACTACATGATTTAAACTGTGCACCCCACGATATACTTCCATTGCACAGGATTATACATGCATCAATAAAATGGTCATATGATACGGTCTTAATGCTGAGCCAGGAGCAATACTGAAAACTAGTGCCTTAACAAGGCGGAGTTTGACTGGTTTAATAGTTTAACTAACTTTTTTTCCTACACTGAGTACTGGAAACACAATTAACCAAATCAAACATATAGTGTTTCTTTCATGAATATTTTTCCATTTTCCATATTTTTTTTTTTTAAACACAATTAGTGATTTATTTCCATCAGCTATGCAATAATCATGCCTTGAAAATTTACTTAAAAAAAATTGATATGGCACTTAGCTAAAATTCAAGATCTACCTTATTAAAGATCCGAAATGTCTCAGTTCCATTGTTTTTTTTCCTACTGCCTTAAAATCATTGTGAGTCTAGTTTTTACATGAATTCCAGTTTTAAAATAAAAGTGTATCTAATGTACAAACCAGATTACAGAATGACAAAAAACTGGCCTCTTATGCTACAATCTGCTCAAGTAGTTATTGTAACAAAGAAGATGCCCAACAACCCAGAATGATAATGTCTTTTCACATCAGAAGTGTGTTCCATGAATAAAAGGAATGCACAAGAGGTTTACACATACATACACTGAGTGTCTGCATAGCTGACTGACATGTTAAATCACTTCTGACTTCTTTTCACAGGACAGAGCAAGTTCAGCCTTGATGTAAACAGGTACAACTACTTGCTTCAAAAAAAGTTGTTCAAGGGCTTATTTTGACCCGAAGTTCAATAGAATAGAGTCGCTAGAAACAAAATCCTTTATGTCTGACCCAAATCCATTCAAACAGTTAAGACTGATTATACTTAAGTTACAGAGATTGACTTAGCCATTAGTATTTGATCTTTTTCAGGAGTGTTCTTTGGCATTGATTAGTTGCACCTATTGTATAACATTAAAATATGAACCTACCTCAATCAAAGACAAGTGATTTCAAGAAATAACACTAATTCACTGCTGAGTGACTTTAACTATTTACCAGACTTTCTATAACAAAAGTATCAATGTGTAAGTTCTAAATAGTTTTACTTTGTTTACCTGTCTACACAGCTTACAGCATTTCAATATTAGGAAGCAGAGAGATGTAAGGCCAAAATGTCTGCTATACAGACTATTGCAACGCAGAAGGACAGGAAACTATGAGCATTTCTACACCACCTCTGGACCATGCTGCAGTGAAAGATAGCATGTCCACTCTAGGTTCAATACAGCCTGAAGAACTGTAGCCACATCAGAGTGGTGTTGGGGATCTGGCAATAGCTCTCTCAGGTATGCTTACAGAGCAGTACAAGAATCACACTAAATGGCAGCCACAACACAATTTTTAAAGGCTGTAGTACATGAGGAGTAGCCATGCCATGCTTCACCCCTCAGCTTGATAAAAGGCAGTATAGCCAGGCCCTATGAGTTTGGACTCTGAAGGGATTTTCCTTTGCTCTGCACTCTTGATAGTTTAAATCATTGCAAAGTTACAAGGGCCATGCTTTTCAACCACTATACAATTGATATAAAAACCTACATGTGATAGGGGGAAGCACGATAATGACTTGGGAGGTTCTGCATGATTGCTCCCTTGGATGAGGTAGCGGGGAGGGCTTAGATGACCCATGAAGAGAAAGAGAGTTCAGTTCTTGAAACTCATATTTCTCCTGATATCTCCATAGAGGCCCTATACTTTTAGGAGTTAGGTTGCATTGAAATCTTGAAGACTGTTATATTGGTTCCCTAACTTGCTAGAGAAAAGGCATTTGCTGCATACTGGTGATGATTCCTTCACTAACGGCAGATTCAGCATGAACTTTCACTTGACCTAAGAACGTAGTTAATAAAATAGGATGTTATGGAGGCAGTTCTGGCAGACTAGGCCAAGGCTAATATGTTCAAATACAATTCTTAGTCTACATAGGAAGAAAAAGGCAGGAAATTAGGGGTCATTTGTGTGATCTTCCCCACTCTTCCTTTGGAATCTCAGAAGTTCTTTATCAGGATTTGAGTCTGTCTTTGGAAAAGGTCGGATTGAAAAAGTGAACTCGCTACATACAAATCAACAGAAAATGCTTACCTATCATAAGCACTTTCCACTATTGCCAAAGATTTTTGCTTTAACCAGGTTCCCTGAGGTTGGATAGTTACTTGACAATACCAGGCTACCTGTCATCACGTTATTTCCATGTAAACAATAATATGATCTTAAGACCAAATGTTTGTCTAACATCTAATTTTTCAAAATGCTAGAAAAGTTTTACATAAGTCCTTCCCCATCTCTCAGAAGATGAAGATGCTTTACTATTTTGCGGCCCTTTTGTTTGATGTGCCCAACATCTATGCACCTGCATTTTCATCTTCTATCCATGGTACCACTTGTCACGGAGTGGGGCCTAGGAGCGGCCGTGATCCTGCTAGCGCCCCCTGCTGTGCCAATTAGGAGATCCAGCAACCTCTTATTCTCCCCCGCCACGTCTTTGATCTTTTATAAAAATTTTAATATGGGAGGCTGCCGTTGATCTCCCAGTATCTATGGGTGACTCGGTGCACCCCCAGCCTTATGGACCATGCGTGCCTCCTACCTCCCCTTTAGCATGCCCCAAGCCTTGCAGTTGTCCCGGACGTTCTTATGTCTATAAGACCTCGGATGGTCCCTCGCCCTCTCCGGGCTGGTCCTGCCCTCTCTGGGCCCTGTCTCGCACACCCTGTCCTCTCCGGGCTCGTACCCACGCGATCGCCCTCCTTCAGACAATTAATGGCACCAGCCCTGTCTCTGGCCTTC